TAGTGTGCACGCAATCCAACTGTATTACCCCCTCCACCTTTACCCTTGGTCTAATTTTCATTCAGGGTAAAGAATACTCGTTGATTTACTTATACATGAGCAATTTTTTTTCTTTTGATATCGCAACCGTTTTAGTAGATCCCTATAATATTACCTTGTTCATATATCGGACTAATGCTAGATCTTGTGCAAGATCACCTCTCTATACAAAGGGGTAAATTTATGACATAGTGGTCTCAAGGGGTTACGTTTTGTGAGATATTCGAACTTCTGACTTATCTTTTATGAAAAATTTATTAGGTAACTTACCCCTTATATATATGTAGCATGAGGTGCGCAGAGTTACTAATGAGGTGTGTATAGAAGGGGTGAATTTAGCAGTTTGATAATAAAAAATTAAATAAAGTGGGAATAGAGATTTGTGGGGTGGGAAAAGTCCTACCCAAAATTTAATTTGATGAATCACTACTAATGAATAAATAGTGGGTGCCAATAAATATTGAGACACATAGTTATATCAATAATAAATATAACAGTCACATCATCANTCTTGTGCAAGATCACCTCTCTATACAAAGGGGTAAATTTATGACATAGTGGTCTCAAGGGACTACGTTTTGTGAGATATTCAAACTTCTGACTTATCTTTTATGAAAAATTTATTAGGTAACTTACCCCTTATATATATGTAGCATGAGGTGCGCAGAGTTGCTAATGAAGTGTGTATAGAAGGGGTGGATTTAGCAGTTTGATAATAAAAAATTAAATGAAGTGAGAATAGAGATTTGTGGGGTGGGAAAAGTCCTACCCAAAATTTAATTTGATGAATCACTACTAATGAATAAATAGTGGGTGTCAATAAATATTGAGACACATAGTTATATCAATAATAAATATAACAGTCACATCATCANCTTTCAAGGTTTTTTCAATTAAAATCATCTCATAAAAAAATAATAATATTAATAGCATTAAAATATATTTTTTTAGTTCAACGGTCAAGAGTATTCGAATTAATTTACACGCATTTCGACTAATTATCTCCTCGGTTCAGTTTAAGGCAGTCTATCAACACCGAAACTAGTGTATTTTAAAGGGATAAATCTCTTATAATTTAATATAAGGAGTTATCAATATTCAAACTCATGACATCTGAGTTTATAGTTCATCTCTATTATCACTTGAATTATCCTTTAAAATTTTTGTTTCAAGATAGACACTTCTTAGTATCCATCTTCGAAATCATACTCGCCATTACCAATTTTTTAAAATTAATGTGCACGGAGTTATAATAAATTTGTTTATATGGTACAATAAATGGAGAATTTTATTTTTTATTGAATTGTGTTATGCACGAATAAAACCAAATTGGAATACCCTTGGATTCTGTTAGATAGCATAGACATCACAATTATGTTTCTTCGTAATGATGAAGGTTTTGGGAAAGAAAAATAGAAAGGATTTGTCAAGGGTGTTCAGATTAATTTATGCGCATTTTAATTAATTTTTTCTCCAATATAGTCAATGGACAGTTTATCCACATCGGGATTAGGGTATTCATGACAGTTAAATCTCTCATGATCTAACTCTAAAAAATTGTCAAGATTTAAACTCGAAACGTCTGAATTTACGATTCGTCCTTATTACCACTTGAACTACCCTTTAAGATTACAGGTTCGTGTTTTAGTTATCGAAGGTTATGTTCTTTTTTGCTTCAGATACAATTGGAATTACTTGACTGAGACATCTCTAAAATACTCCGCACCAATTTTGCAGTCAAAGGAAAAAGTAAGAGTGCAAATACTGTGGGGGTTGGCACTAGCGAAAACACCGACTATCGATTGTTGAATTTAATTAATAAAAATAATTAACGGGTGATCGTATGTATATGAGGTTTATTGTAAGAATGCATTCAGTATTGTCATACTTTGAAACGGTTTAATGTCAAAAATTGGGTGAAAAAAGTCACTCCACCAGCTTAATCTAATCTTCTTTTGAGTATTTAGCTGTTGTTTCTTCTGAATCTTTTCACTTCATTACTTGAATAATTGGGGAAAAAAAAGTCAACAACCACTTTTTCTTCACTTGAATCTTGATGTTGAACTGTCGTCGAATTCATAGAAGAAAAAGGAAATGCACACAAACTTGCATAGGTGTAAAGTGAAAATTCCTGTTAGTTTCACAACTAAAATCGTATTTCATCACTACTATCTTACTAACTTTGAAAATCACCCACTCAACCATGACTTTGGTATCATTCTATTCCTTTAACCAGTGAGTTTCTTGTATTATCCCTCGACTATTTGAATTAATTTTGTATTATGTCAAAATCAAATGTTCGACGTGGTCGGGACGAGAGAATGTTCATATGTGTATTTATTACTAAAGTATGTGTTTTCAGATATGATTTGAAAATAGAATGTATAAACATGTACTAAGGTACACATGTTCAGCATTTATAATCTTGACCAAACGAAATCAATAGCCATAGTTGGATTTAAAATGTGAGAAAAATGAGAGAAAAGAGACAATAAGTTTGTTTGGAATTATCGGATTTTAGAGTAACATAAGTCAGATTTGTTTGGACCTTGATTTTTTTATTAGCTTATGTAGTAGTTTTTTGGACTCAAAAAGAATTATTTAAGCTGATACAAGAAACTAATTTTATAAATTTTTCTTCCAACTTTAGAGTTTTGACGCAGGTCACACATAATTTTTTAGTTTATTATATTCATAAAATACTATTAGTGACGTAAAAAAAATTAAAATTTATATTTTGAGAATTATTATACATAATCTATACATACATGTAATTATTTTTTTTATTTTGACACAAAAAATTAGAAAGTCATTTTAAATAGACTTTTCTAATTTTTTCAGCTTTTTAACGAACATTTCAAACGATTTTAAAGGACTTTTTTAATTTTGACTTTTTTACTAAATTTTTCAAACCGCAGATTTTCACCTAAAAAAATCAACTCCAAACTAGCTCAATATGAAATCAATTGTCATAGATGGATATGCAACATGAGAAATAGGATTTTTGAGGGAGTAATGTGAGATAGAGGTATAGTTAAGGGGGTTGAAAGTGTCATTTTCCCAACAAAATGGCAATCCATTGATCGAATGGAGACTGAAAATGGAGCAGTTGAATGTATCCAAGCCTTCTCTTAGAAAATGGAACATTTCAAAGTTCAAACTGCACGAGCTAAGGTAGTCAAAACTAAGCTGTCTTGAGTCTCCCACCCTAGTGTGCACGCAATCCAACTGTATTACCCCCTCCACCTTTACCCTTGGTCTAATTTTCATTCAGGGTAAAGAATACTCGTTGATTTACTTATACATGAGCAATTTTTTTTCTTTTGATATCGCAACCGTTTTAGTAGATCCCTATAATATTACCTTGTTCATATATCGGACTAATGCTAGACCTTGTGCAAGATCACCTCTCTATACAAAGGGGTAAATTTATGACATAGTGGTCTCAAGGGGTTACGTTTTGTGAGATATTCGAACTTCTGACTTATCTTTTATGAAAAATTTATTAGGTAACTTACCCCTTATATATATGTAGCATGAGGTGCGCAGAGTTACTAATGAGGTGTGTATAGAAGGGGTGAATTTAGCAGTTTGATAATAAAAAATTAAATAAAGTGGGAATAGAGATTTGTGGGGTGGGAAAAGTCCTACCCAAAATTTAATTTGATGAATCACTACTAATGAATAAATAGTGGGTGCCAATAAATATTGAGACACATAGTTATATCAATAATAAATATAACAGTCACATCATCAAGTTAGGTTTTTAAATCTGTGTAACATTGCTCCGCTTCATGGTATATTCGAACCTCCAACTTACCTCTCATGAGAAATTTTATCAGGTGACTAGGCTAGCACTATGGAATAACCCTTTGGAGTTTATGAATAATGTTACTTAGATCTAATCTATTCATTCTTAACCATTAGACTTCAATATTTGTTATGACCCATTATTATTTAATGATTATGATAAATTAAATTAAAAAGTTACGTTTAAATAATATTTTAATTATATATTTAAGAAGGGAAGGATTGCACCGTTTCCAAAAAAAATTCTCATAGTTAATTGACAAGCATTGAGATTTCAAGACTTTTTTTACCATGGGTTTTTTTAAATTTGATCTATATCACATCATTTGTGTCTTTACAATTGTACTTTTTTGAAACTAGAGACACTTTTAGTTTTTTTTTGGGTTTCCTTTAAAATCCAAATATAATATAAGGAAATTGGATATTTTGTACCCAAACACCCATGCTGAGTTGTAATTACTCTTTTGCACACGATATCATGTGAATGTGAATGTGAATTGTAGGGGGTTCAATCACTCTAAGTAAAAATAATATTGCATATTTTTTTCTTTAATTATAAAAGGGGGCCTATTACATGTAACAATTAGAGTAATTACCTTTTAACGATGTCTTGTGTCACATTATTCTCTCAAATATTATGTTTCGGTGCACCTCTAAATATAGTCATTTGTTACACGTTGTTGTTTCAAATAAAGTATTATGTTTTTAGTATTGTAGAATTATTGATCTCGTATTTCTTACATCATTGAAAGTGAAAACGTATATTTTACTACACGTGTATGTTTTCATTGAGAATATGATAGATATTTGGTTTTAAATTAGTTACGAATTCGCTTCCAACTCGTGAATTTTCGTCCAGAGCGGTAGAGTGTGATCAATTTTAAACGTATAATGTGAATTAGGACAATCTAAGAAACCAAATAGTTAAAGGGTAAAGTGAGATCAAAATCATAGTAAAAGGGGTCAACATATATTTTCTAACGTTAAAAATTTTCACAGCATTCAACTTGCGGCCATTTTTCTTGTCTTAAAGGTTGGGATATAGATGATCTTGTCTTGAAGCTTTGGAGAGCATCTTGGAGAGAGAGTGATAATGAAGATAGGGCATGGTGGGACCTCCATTGTCTTGAGTGGAGCAAGCTCCTCTCGTCACTGGAAGTGGAAGCTGCAATGTCAAGCAAAGCAAAACGCTCTCCACCAAAAATCCCTATCCTTCACCCACTACACCCCTCTCCAAAAGCCAGAGGAAGCAACAAAAAGTTGGAAAGAAAACACTCTTTTCACATCATCATCATCCCCTTTGATTTTTTTTCCTTCTCCCTTTCAATGCTTTCATTCACCTACCAACCACACCCACCTTCTCAACTTTGCACAAAGCCCCCAAAATTTCCATTTCAACTCTCTCTCTCTCTCCAAGTTCTGTTCTTTTACCGTGCTTTCCCTTCAATCCATGATAGTTATTCATTTTGAGAAACCTTTCTAGAACCCACAAATTAAATCCTATGGACAATAAGTAGAATCCATTGCTTCCAATGGGTAGTGATTGACCATTTTGCTTTGTGATTGAACTCTACTTTTGTTCTGTTCTTTGAGCTTGTACTACTTTCTTGACCCATTTCTGCACAAATACCTTTTTCTGGTAGCAGGAGTGGAAATTTCTGATACCCGGAATCAATTTCCTTCAGAAATCGATTGTTTTGATATGGAATCTTTCAATCAAACAACTGGGTTTCGTTATAACCCAGATGCAAACACAGAGGGTGATTCTGAATTTTCTGGGATCCTCGAAATCTTTGTTCATCATGCAAGGAATATTCACAACATATGCATCTACGACAATCAAGATGTTTATGCAAAATTTTCTCTCACCTACAACCCAGATGAGACCTTCTCAACCAGGATCATCAATGGTGGTGGAAAAAACCCAGAATTCAATGAGAATTTGATCATGAAAGTTTCCCAATTTGATGCTGTTCTTAAATGTGAGATTTGGATGCTGAGCAGGGCCAAGAATTTAATGGAGGATCAGCTCCTGGGGTTTGCTTTGGTCCCAATTTCTTCTGTTGTTGGGAAAGGAAAGATGACCCAAGATTTCTCTCTCTCTTCCACTGATTTATTTCACTCTCCTGCTGGTACTGTCAAGCTCACTCTGTCTTTCAATCCAAATGTTGCAATTCATAGCTCAATCAATTTATTCTCTGACTCATCAGTGCCCAATTCCTCAATAACTTCTGAGGTTGTGTTGTTGGATAGAAAAATCTCAGAATTTGTCCTTGACCCAGTTGAGTATTCTAGGATTGAATTTCCAGATATCAGCATAGTAAAAGAGAATCAAAAAATGGTATCTGAGTATTTTGATTTAGCAAGCCATGGCTCTGGTTCTAGACCAGGGTTGGTTGGTCCTGGGTTATTTCTTCATCTTGGTGCTTCCCATCAGGCACTTGATGACTATGAAATGGCTGCTAATTCGACCGATGAAACCCGGGCAGGCTCGGATTCCCCCAATGGGAGTGTACAGAATTCTGGGTTCATGAGCTCCACCATGACAAGCTTGAGTGATGACAGAAACTCAGCCGATTCATTGGAGAAAAAGAATCATTTGTCAGGTGAATTTACCGAGTTTCTTTTACAGATCTCATACCTTTCAAATACATTTTCCGGTACTCATTCCTTCGGTTTCAAACTTATTTTCCAAATTCATGCACTTTTTGAAAATGTCAACTTCTTATAACGGTTTCACACTGGAAGCTGGTGTCGACTGTGATACGCTGTTCAAACGCGTCGACAAGCAACAAAAAAAATGATCTGTAGATCATAGAAGATGTCACTCATAAGAAAAAAATGAAAAAAAACGCGGTTCCATAACTGTTTTTTTATTTTCGAAAACAGTTTTTGAGTGGAAAACGGTTTGATCGATATTTTCTTTTTATTATTTTTTAAAAACTAAAAATAAAAAGTTGACAAATTAAGATTATTTTGTGTGTGTGTGTCTTGAAATAATTTTTTTAGAATTTAGAAAACACCGTCGCTACCACCAACTTACTGTTTTCATTGTTTTATGAACTGTTGCCTGAACAAGTTTTATTATTTTTTATTTTAAAAAACTGTTTTTGAAATCATACAACCAAATAAATTACGGAACACAAAAAATATCAAAACATAATTTTTTAAAACTCTTCTAAAAAATAATTATCATTGATGTTTCCAGCTTCTGGTCTTTGACATAAAGAAATAAATAATAACAAAAGGAACATCTGAAAATTTGTTCGTAGCTTTCTACTCTTGTGATGTTTGAAAGAGTCGATGACGACCATAATGACTATTTCACATTAAAGGCACAATTTGGAATATCATTTTTTTAGAAACTAATGGAAAATGCATGATTTTGGAAAAACAAGTTTTGTAAGTGCATAGATTTGATTAAATAAAAACGCTGAATTTTCTACAGAAACTACTCACAGCCCAAGTGCTTGTCCTGAAACTCCAACTTCAAAGAAGGGAAGTGACCCAAGAGAATCAAAAGAACCAAATTTCTCAGAGGAAAGCACAAAGGAAGGCAATTTGGAGTCTTCTAAATTTGGTGAAGTGTTTTCAGCTCCACTCGGAAATATTAATCTTGAGGGAGGAGAACAAGCGGCAATGCAGCAACAGATAGTTGACATGTACATGAGGAGTATGCAGCAATTTACAGAGTCTTTGGCAAAGATGAAGCTGCCTATGGATCTTGACAAACCGGAAGCTGAAGATCGCGGCGATTTGATTCAAAACCATGATAGCAATGTGAAAATTGAGAAGAAAAAGGACTGTTCGAGGGTGTTTTATGGTAGCCGGGCTTTCTTCTGATCACTGTTTGATGCTGCAGTTTTTGCGTAAAATCCAGCAGTATGGTGTTTTTTTTTTGTCACTGATTGTGATTCCTCTAGTTGTTTAACTGGTTTATGTGGATGAGCATAGTAAGATGTTTGGATCTGCATTTTAGAAAGTTGTTTGCATGGTTCATTGTTCTTGTTTCAAGGTTTAGGCACAAGATGATGATGTTAAATTCACAATGATATAATCCCAAGGGCCAAAAATACCTCAAGTGGTAACAAGGACATAGCTGTAAATCTAAACTTACTGAGTTCGAATTTTAACAATCTTTTAGGGCTAGTCCATGAGGGATCTCTCATGAATACCTTAATTCTAGCGTGGATGTCTTATATTTGATTGGACCAAAGAGAGGATTAGTCAACGTGCGTTTAAGTTGGTCCCGACACCGTTGACGGTTGAACAAAAAAAAAAATCACAATGATAGCAGTATAGGGTATAAGTGCTCTGTTTTGTATGTGGTAAAAGGAGATAGTGTTAGGGTTAGGACAACCCTCACGGTTGTTTTGTTTGCATGGCTTAAGGATCAAAATTTTGGTTAAGTAAATTCACTCAAAACCATCAAAACATGTGGTTTCTCCTGAAACCGACACTAATCAGCAATAAAAAAAAAAAATCAAAATCCTTATGTTTTGACAACTGCTTTTGTAAATTGCAATTTGTTCTCTGTTTTTATTTAGTTTCGGAAACATTTTCTAACGTTTCTAAAATATTTTCGGAACTTTTATGAGGGACATTACCAATTCCAAGCTTACCCAAATTACGCATCGTAACATCATTTTGATCCTTGCGAGCACCACATAGCCCATAATTGGTTCAATCATCCTTTTCTAAGAGAGATAAGAACTTCATGGATAATATGAAAGTAAAAACAAGTTCAAATAGTCTCAGCCTACAAAACCCATGCAGTAATGTTCAGAAAGCAGCAATATGCAGAAGAGCTTCCCACAGACTACCAACAGTGGTGACCCATATTGGGTAGTTCAAATCGTAATAAGGATAGAGTTATACACTTATACGTCTTGACTTTAAATCTTAGTAATTTTTTTGAGTTAAGTTACGAGGAATATCATGAATTCTTTAGTCCAAGTGTGGAAGCCTGCCTTTGATGGGATTGAGATGAAAATTAAATAAGATGCTCTTGAGCGTTGAACTAAAAAAAGAACAGAGTGGTAACCCATTATGAGCGAGAGTAGACTTAACCATTGGGCAAATTAGGCAACTGATTAGTGTCTCACTTGAAAGTACTTCACAATCTATATAATAAAGTAGCTTATAATTTAAATTTCAAAAGATAAATAAAATGACTTTTGCTATTCGCGGTTGAGATCATTTTAAATTTTATTTTAAAGTTAATCTAACAGTTAATATTAACGCCCTAAATTTAATAGAAAAAAAAAGTTATAAGGGTGCGTTTGAAGTGATTTTTTAAAAGTACATTTATAAATTATTTTTCATAAATACTTTAAAAAAAAATAGTGTTTGAAACCGCCTCATCACTACCTTTACCACCATCAACCCCGCCGTTGCCGCTGCCGCCACCACTATCATCATCACCACTACTACCATCGTTGTCTTCACCATTACCACCACTATCACCACCGTTACCACCATCACTATCGTCACTGCCGCCACCACCAACACCACCTCTACTGTCGCCACCGCCCCTACCACAACCACTGCCACCACGGTCATTGTCACCCACTACAACCATCACCATCTCCTGTCATCACCATCTCTCACCTTCACTACAATTCGATACTTAAATTCATTTATCTTTTCTCTATGTTTGTAATTTAATTTTGAATATGAATGTAAATATGTTTATTGTTTATTATTTTTTATTATTTTGTACCTTCAGGCACAGAAAATAATTAATACTATTGTAACGTATACAGATCAGGGCACACATCATTGCTTATTTAAAAGTGAAAAAATTATACTTTAACCTACTTAAGGACTCAATTTTTACTTTATCCTTTTAACCACATAAATTTTTTCACATTGTCCCAAACACTTTACCTCTTTTGTTTTTGCATATAAATTGTCAATATGTCGGGACAAACTAAAAATAATTACATAGTTTAAGTGGCAAAAATAAGACAACTTTTCGTCAAATTTGTAACAAATATTAATAATTGAAGCGATGCAAAACTAATTGCATAGTTGAAGATACAATATGGAAAACATGATAGTTGAGTGGATAATGTAAAAAAAAAGAAGGGTTATAATTCAGAGGATCAAAGTGTAATTTTTTTTTTAACACCGAAACTACGATGATTGTCCAAACTGACCAGGAAGGCATCTGCATTCGAAAAGCGGCTCCTTTACAAGCTACTCTAGGAAGGTATATTGTTGTGGGCCTTGTGGCTACGTGGGTCTCCATTTTAAAACTTCTTAATCAATAATTTTGCTTCAATGATTCTTAAATAAAAGGGAAAATCTCAGCTAGATCATTCCTAATTTACCGTATCTTCAAAGATTTTTTTTTTTTTGAATCTTCGCTGCACTCTTTGTCCGATTAAAAGTGTTAATTAGAATGAAATTTTATTAAATTACCTGTGATATATTTTAAGAAAAATTATATCCACATCCCCTCTAAATAGACATATTTTTAATAAAATCTCCTCTGCTTTCTAAATTTTCATATATATTATAATTTGAGTTGATTAAAAATTTTATTTTTTTATTTATTAAAATTATAGTCAATTAAAATTCTATTCGAGACTCAAATCAACATTAATTTTATAGCCTGATTTTTGGTACATAAAAAATATATTTTTTAATTTGGACTAATAGCTTAAATAGAGTTCAAATTCAGCCCGAATTTTAATACCTAAAAAAATATTTTTAAATTTTAATAGGATTGAATTTTAATACGTAAAAAAATAAAATTTAATCAATTCGAATCAAATTTTAATATGTAGAAATTTTTTTTTAAACAACTCAAATTTTAATATGTAAAAAAATAAAATTTAATAGGCTCGAATTTTAATTGAATTTTATGTAGAAAAATTATTTGAGGTTTATGTAAGGGTAATTTTGGTATTTTAGATAATTTATTTTTACTATAAATGGTGGTTTAACAACAAGAGGTGTCAATAATATTTTTGATAATAGAGACGACGTACTTAAAGATATGGTAAATTAGAAGAGGTGTAGTTGAAATTTTTCCTAAATAAAATGATATGTGTTTTTTTTTTGATTCAATGATCAGTGTGTTCAGGTCCATTTACGCACACCTTAATAAATCTTCTCTCCAATTCGGTCAAAAACAATTCAGTTCGATTAAAGATAGGTCATCTACGCCGAAATTAGAATATTCATGAGAAATAAATCCCTCATGACCTGAGCCCAAGGTTTAAACTTAGAACATCTAGATTTAAAAATTGTCTCCATTACTACTTAAACTACCCCTTGATGTTAATAGAATGATAGTTCTAATACTTATACAAGCTTTTTGCGACTATCTTAAATTTTTCGTCTAAAATCTCAATTTCTATCGGGTTTGGCCCTAATTCTAGGATACTTAATTTTAGCTCAGGATCATTCACTCAACAGAGTGACAACTTTTATTCCTTTTTGGGCAAGTCCATAGGTGTTTTGGTCACATCAATGCCCTAATAACAATATAATACCATTGCAACACATGATCACTTACAAATAAGGCTATCAGTCGAACAAGTCTGAACTAAGTTTGAAAAGCTTGTTTTTTAATTGAATCTAAAAAATTATTCAAATTCGACTCGTTTAAAAAACGAGCCGAGCCTAAAGGAGCCGAAAATAAATCGAGCCCGAGTCAAACCCAAATATTTGTACATAAATGAATCGAGTCTGTCAAGTTTGAGCCGAATTTATAAAGTTTGTTTTTTAAATGAGCCTAAAAAACTTGTTCAACATTGGGCTCGTTTAGAAAATGAACTAAGCTTGAATGAACCAAATTCAAACCGAACTCAATCTAAACTCAAATGTTCAGTTTAATTAATAGCCCTTGTAACAAGCATATAAGGGACTTCGGCTCGTTGTCTATGAAGCAAGACACGAAGACTTTAAGGCGAATTCAACGGGCTTTGAAAGTGGCACAAGAAGGTTATTACCACTTCTTACAAATCAAAATGGGCTAGCTAAAGAGCTACCCCGAATGAAGTGGACTGAGTGCTCCCCTTGTCCGTCGACACTGGCCTAAACCTTTGCATATTACCTTTCTTGGGCTTTCACTCTCCTCTATGATCAAGGGAGGAGCCAGATTACATTTTCACACAAAATGTCATTGTTAAACATGTATAATCTTTAACTGCTAATAAGAGTTAAAAAAGTTTGTCGATCGAAATGAATCATTCTTATTATCTCTCTTTGCTCTTCACCTCAATAGATAACATGTGATTATCATGATACTACAAGCGTCTAGAATCGGATATCGATGACCAACATTTGTTGGTCCTAAACCTGTCAATGGATCGGATTTTGATTCGAATTCGAATAACATGATATGACTTAATATTTTTTATCAATAATTCGAATTCGATATTTTATATTTTACGGATTCAGATTTTGATATACTTATATCCAATCCAATTATGATTCGACTCTAATTATTGATATATTTTTATATAAAAATTTTTAAAAAATTAAGTGAAATTTAAGTATACTTCACTTACAATGTTTTAACTCCGCCAAAAAACATCAATATGGATAATCGAACTCAAAAGAACAGTCAGTTCAAAACCGATTAATAGTTATGAACAAAAGAAAAAAAAGAAGAGTAATTGAAATAGAAAATTAATAGATTTAAAAAGGTAAACTTGATAATTATAATTATTGATTTACTATGAATCCTAATATTTATTGGGACTCACTATCTATTCAATAATTGCGATTATCATGTTTATTTTTTAAGTATAATTTTTAAGTCTATGCAACATTACTGAAATTAATATCATCTCAAATTTTTGTTTGAAATTCAAATATAGTAAAATTAGAAATGGACAGAATTTGAATGTGTAAATCTCCATACAAATTCGTGAGGTATAGGAACTACTTTCCAAATCATTTTGGAAACTACTTTTAGCATTAAAATAGTGCAGTAAGGGGAATTTAATAATAAAAAAAATAAAGAATAAACAAAAAGACTTAACTGCTTAACAAAATATTTGGTGGGGGACTTAAATGTCAAATATTTTTAAAACTTGTATTTCAAGACTTGAAAGTTTATTAAACAGTCCCAAATTTTTTAAAAATTAAAATTAAAGAGGTTCTGAGCCCAATTCCTACGAATGTTTATTTATAATTTAAATAAATTAGTCATATCTCGTACTTAAAGGTACGATGAAACATAAGATTCGAACGTTCAAAAAATTAATTCTATTATACAAAATAGTAAATTTTTATTTATTTGTTTATCTAATTACATNTTAGTCATATCTCGTGCTTAAAGGTACGATGAAACATAAGATTCGAACGTTCAAAAAATTAATTCTATTATACAAAATAGTAAATTTTTATTTATTTGTTTATCTAATTACATTATTTAAAATTAATTTATAGCTATTTTTTTGTAAATATAGCATCAATTTTTTCAAAATGTATAATCGGACAAAATTTTCTTAACATATGTATATTATCGTGTATGGACAAAAAATGAAATAAAAATTATGTTAAACTAAAAATCAATCAAATATTAAATATTAAATAATTAAATATGTTATAAAGTTTAATGATGTGATATTTTTTGAAAAAAAAATATATGGAAGATAAAATTCAACTTCCTATGTGTTTTTATTATATAGATAAACTAGTTATTGTCTGTGTTTGAAGATACGGAGTAATAAAAATAATAAACATATTTGTATTCATATTCAAAATTAAATCACAAACATAGATAATAAATAAATGAATTTGAGCATCGGTTCTAGTGTGAGTAAGAGGTGATGGGCAGCAATGGTGGTGGTAGAAAACAGTGATAGTTGTGCTGGGTAGCTATGACCATAGTGGCGGTGGTTGTGGTGGTGGTGACGACGACAACGGTGGCGGTAGTGGTGGTAGCAGTGGCGTAGGTGGTGACAGTAATGGTGACGACAATGGCAGTGGTGGTGGGTAGAGGTAGTGGTGGTGATAGAAATAGTGGTGAAACGATTTTAAACACTATTTTTTTTTTTAAAGTATTTATGAGAAATAATTTCTAAAAATATTTTTAAAAAATCACTCAAAATATATCCTTTATAGTCTATTTTTTTAATTAAATTTAAAATGTTAATATTAGCTTTTAAATAAATTTTAAAATAAAATTTAAAACGATATGAATTTCGAAAAATAAAAATTATTTTATTTATTTTTAAAAATTTAAATTATAAATTATTTTATTGTATAGAAAACTGATAAAAGGGTTTATGAACTCGACTCGTATGACAAGTTGTGTCGAGTATTCTTTGCCTTAAAATACACACCAGTTGATGTGATGCAAAAAGTATTCCAAATTCCAACGGAAAATACTGTTTCTGCCATTGTTTACCTCATTTTTGCAGTCACCGTAACGAGACGGCAATGACAAAGCAAGATCTATTGTGGCAACGTCAGATTCAGTCCTGCTTAAAGGTGAAACTTCTCCCCGATATTATAAACGAGTTTGACCAAAACAACGTTGAAGCACCGTCAAAGTGGTAAAAATGAAAGCTTTGCAGCCTTGGCTACGTCACATGGTGGGGGGGGG